TTTGCAGCTGCACATGGGGACAAAGATATTACCATCTGACATTGGGTGAGAGGTGGAGTCCACCCTGGACAGGTTGCCAGTATGTCAAACAATCAAACACTCTCACACTCACTCCTATGGACATTTTAGAGTCACCAGTCAAGCTAAGCTGTATGTCTTTTGACTGTGGGAGTGATCCTAACTGACCTAAGATGGGACTTTTTAAAGGATTAAATGTCAGGAGTTAAGTAAAAACATTATCAGCCACATGTGAGTCACATTCTTATGGTTTTGAAATAGCTGCATCTTTATAAAAGAGGAAGGATGACTAAAGTGTGGGAGTGTCATGGTAGCACAAAAAAATTCTGTTTGATAAATGTGTACTATACAACATCATATACAAACTGGAATTCACCAAACTAATGACAAAATTCCCTCAGATATTACAAAGTATGGATACTACAGAATAAAAAAGAAACTATTAGTCTGTTCAGTCACACTTGGCAGAAGTTAAACATCTAGGAATTTATGCAAAAAAACCCTTTTTCCTTTGTAGTGGTCAATGAATGTGATAGAATGAAAAACTACATTTTATATATTTGTTAAAATGTGAGTGAAAAATTGATCATTGATTATTCAAGAACACCTTGAATTCCTGGCTGTCTGTGGATGATTAAGGTTTGTTGCTGTTACACGTGGTCAACGTCACAGTAAGTAAAGAAAAAAGGAAGAAACATTGAAAGCACACACACTTCCGCTCTGTTATTTTGCCGCTACAATGAGAGTCCTGCTTTTTGCATTCCTCCAAGGTAGGTTCTATTTTCATTTGCTGAAAATATCATTAGCCAGCAAAAAATGTGCCCAGATTTCAAGAATATTTTAAAATTACAATTTTAACAGCATAACTACCCGAGTCAGACATACTAGGAGCATAGCACTGGCAACAGAACTAACAAAAGCCTCAATACGTTTCCAGTCATTGTTATACTCTCACTTAGTATCACCGGTTATTTATCTTTCTGATGTTTACTTAAATGTTTGTTAGAAAAGAGGCCAGTCTAGTATATTTGTTATTTTGGGCAGTGACCCATAAAACAAAAACAAAAACAAGCAGGAAGTACTTTGTATCAAGGAAATGATGTGAAAATCTGATTAAACTCATGTCCGTCATTCCTCAGTATTAAATATGGTGTATATTCATTATCTAAAAAGTTAACTGGTTATGACTAGACTGTGTAGTGTATGTACTCGCTCTAGTGATACTTAATGACGGTGGAAGAATACATACTGGATGTTATTTAAATGTCCTTATCCTGAAAAATGTCTAAATGAGAGTTTTTACTATAGTAAGTACCGCCTCACAGAGTCACAAGCTGGACTTGGTCTTATTTTCTCTGCTGACAAATCTAAATTCCAAAAATATACGTTTATTCATGCACATTTTACAAGGGAACTGGCTGCAGACAAAGGTGGCAGACTGCGATCAACTGTCAATGCCAGAAGATGTAAACTTTTTCCAGAAGGTGGGATAGGGATTAGGATTAGCCACGACCCTTAACCTGTCAAGATTAACAGTTTCTGGCTAATATTGATAACGTCCTGCCATTTTCTCTGCTGCCAGGTCCATTTGCATTTTACTGACCTTGTTTCTTGAAGCACATCCAGAACAATGTGTTTCTCAGTGAATCTCTGGTCTGGAAGTAAAAGATGACCTTATTTAGACAAATTATCTCTTATATATTCTACAAAATACCCAAAGTAAGCTGTTACAATCATGTAAAGAAATTCAAATGCACTGAAACTTCAGGTTGTGCTTACAGTGGTCATCTTTGCCACCTTTCTTTAAAATGTGACCAAAGAAACTGCTGCTTTCCATGTTAGTTTTGCTTGTATAAAACCTTAAAGTCTGGGTGTGGTGGTGCTGAATTTTTTTAAAACTGCTTTCACAGTAGCACTAGCTGATCCCCCCAAAGAAGTCTCTGGGTACATTGGTAATACCATCATCCTGCCCTCAGGAGCTGAGCCACCATGGACTCTCAGGAAAATTTATTGGTCAATATTCACCAACAACACTTGGATTGCCACCTATTACAATAAGGAGGAAAACACTGAACGCATCAGTCAGTATAAAGGGAGGCTCAGTCTAAACATCACTTCAGGTAAGAGAAAATCTGTCACCTGGCTGTCAGGGAAAAGGATTTGTCATTTTATTTCTCTCTTTACAGTTGTTCAATGTTTTTCATTCATTAGGTGACTTGACGATCCGTAATTTGACCACAAAAGATGCCATGGAATACACTGTAAAGTTCACCGCTAGTAAAGGACAGACAGTAAGCAAGATTAAGCTCACAGTGAAACGTAAGTGTCAAAACTGACACACATTTAGGTTTTGTCAGCCTGTTTAATATACTAGAGGATAAATATATAGTCATAGTTAGTAGCTTTGACCTAATGCTTTTTTCTGAGTCACCATGTAACCACCCCCTGACCTACTTAGTTTTTTCAAGTCAGACAGTGCTAAGAAGTCAGAACACATCCTTATGACAAATTGTCAACACTGATTTTAACCTTCACAGAACGCCTCCAGGAACCAACCATACAGAGAATTCAATCTGCAAGAGGAGGCTGTTGGAAGGAGGTGCATTGTTCTTCATCAGATAAAGATGTTGACTTCTCCTGGCAGGTTAAACCTCCCAGTGTGACTACCTTCACCAGGAGTAATCCAGCCAGCAACTTCCTTTTAGTATTCCTTACCACCACACAGAATCCTGTTGAAGTCACCTGCACCTCCAACAGGACTATGGAGAATGCCTCAAGTGTTGTTACTTTAAAGTATGATGGTAAGCTTTATTTTGTAGTAGTTACATTTTGGAATATGAAACATGCAAGCACAATATGAGATGAGATAATTAAGATCCTAAAACTTTAAAGATCATGTATTATAGCTACAATATGTAACTTAAGGCAGCACTGGCACAAAACTCCAAATTGATCTACTCTGCTCCACCGAGCACTCCCTTCACCTGCTCCACTACCATCTGCTACAGTCCGCTATGCTCTGCCCAGCTCTTCAGATATTTGTTGTTATGAAATTACAATAAATGAAAATCCAGCAAATTTTATTGACGAGGTTTTGGAGCATAATTCTACAAAACAAAATATATTTGAAAAAAAGTTACATACTGTAGCTTTAAAGATCCACATTAATGTCATTATGTCACCTAATGTCATGCTTTAGTGGTGTGAATGCCCTAATACATTTTCAAATAAACTAGCCCAAACCAGTTCACATACAGCCACAGTTTGCAGTTTGATGGAATCCACTATACATACAGTACAATAAAATACCATATGTATATGACTGTGTTCTTTCAGATTGCCAGCCTCAGCCTCCACCCCACCCACAGCCTCAGCCCAGGGAAAGACATTTAGCTTTATTCTTTGGAGGCTTTTTGGGAGCACTAACAGCAATTTTCATATGCATTTTTAAAGGTGAGAAATACATCTTTCTAAAATTTGTTTTTGTTTATTTGTCCTGTTTCCTCCATAGGGTGGTCACAGTCTGCATTCAAAGATGCACAATGGGAGCAGACATCCTTAGCATTTTCCTTGTGATTTTGTTTTCTGATTATTTAAAAACATCAAACCCTGCTCAACCCATACACATGACTTGACTTATGTTGATACTAAACAACAACGACTGCAATGCAGACAAGAATGATAGTTAGCCAATTAATTAACTTCCAAAATTAGAGTCAGTGGTGTTTCTTTGGTGAGGGTGTGTAGCAGAGCTTCCCAGTGTCATGGTCCAGGTAGAACCGAAGAAATGATCAGTACAGCTGGAGGAATTCATAAACGACAAGCCTTGCAACTATGCCAGCTCCTTTGATGCTAATAACTGAGTCACCAAACCAATGTATAAAATGGGGAGACAAAAAAAAAAAAAAATGGGGAGGGTGGCATTAAAGGATTAGAAAGAACACATTTTAAACAAATACACTGAGTACTGAGTGGAAAATGGAAAGTTATGAGTTGGAAGGTAAAATAAATTTTGGGTATGATATAGAAAATTTTGCAATTTGGCAGCACTATTAATAATGGATGGTTAGCACAACTATTGGGGCACTATAGTATCTTTAGGAACTTTCAGGCAGTCCAGGATAGGCCCCATAAAAAGTGTAGGACCATCCAGCTCTTGTTCTGAAAATATATACTGTATACATGGCATATACAGTTTGATATGCTACATTTCTCTGAAAGCTGAAGTCTTAAGAAAAAATGGGTCATGGGGCTGGAAAAAGTGAAACCCCTGGTTGTGGTTTCTCTTGCTTTCCATGCACCACTTTGTTTTGTCAGCCTTAGTCATAACCTTTGTTTTCACACTTGGCTCCAAACCATACAATGAACATTTGTCCAAAGGTCGTTTCCAAAACTAAATATGAAACAATTATAGTTTTTAATCTTGATCTGACCATGGTGAAATCATAATAAACCTGGCAATAAGAACTGTCTGATGTGGCTCAGATGTAGCAGGTAATGAAACATAATATTGACACGGTGACACTGTTTTGTTTGATTTCATTTGCAGACCAGATCCGAGCTAAATGCAAAACCCTCAGAGGTAGGTACTTCATATATTGTAGCCATATTCATACTTAAACTATCACTGATGTGTAAACTGATTTGCATTCTCCTATATTTTCCAGAAAAGCTGTGTCCATCAACAAGTACATTATAATATGAAGGTAAGCTTCTGTATCGGCTTTGACCCTCCTAGGTTTTGTGACAGTGGGTGGTAACACAATACCACAGTTTTGAATGACCAAATTTCTTTCTCCTCCCTGCAGATCATGAATACTTCAACAGTCAGAATGACTGCACCACAGAAACATCAACAGTGGCTGAAGGCGGAGTCAGCATTTGTGTATTATTAAGTGTAGTAGCAGTCAGTGGGGGAAGTAGTACTCATTATTTACTTAAGTAAAAGTATCAGTACCACAGTGAAAAAATACTGTTACAAGTAAAAGTCTTGCATTCAAAATGTTACAAAAGTATTGCATTCAAAATGTTACAAAAGTATTAACATATATAAACAATATAAAGTAACAAAAGTCAAGATACTCTATGTAAAACGGTACAGCTTACATGAATGTACATTGTTATTCAATTTTAATTATTAATGTGTTAATGTGTATATTATATTTAATGTTACGTCTGGTAAAGGTAAAACTGATTTTACCATGTGCTAATAAATTTGAATTACTGCTGGGGACCATGTGAATTGTAAAACTGCATTTTGTTTTGTAAACCTCATTTTGAAAAGTGGCTAGTAACTAAAGCTGTCAAATAAATATAGTGAGTACATAAGGTCAATAAACTGTCAAATATCAGTTTCAAGTTACTGTCAATAAATTTTTAGACAGCACACTGGAGAAATAGATATTAGCAAACCTTATAAATAATTTTTTACATAAAGGAGGTGTGTGTAGCATTATAATGAATATGATTTTTTTTTGGACTGGAAGAAGTTGAGGTGTTATAACTAATCTATTCAAATGGATTATACTGTCCTCTAGTCATAGTAATGTTTCACTTGCGGAATACAGATGAGACCTGAGATTATTAGATGCATTCAGCATGCAGTTGATGAGTTTCAACAGTTTGTTTCACTATAAGAGCCCTTAAAAAGTCCAACAATACTCAATATTTAGGTCATTTTATGATAGTTGATCTACAGTAAAAGATTAATTATTTTGCATGCCCTATTTTATTGGTCTAAGGACCCACATGGGCTGTGTCCTAAATAAAATTTGAACTGAAATACTGAATCAAATAATTACAAAAATACACAAAATAATGCCAATGTAATATTGCTACTGTACTTACAAACAGCACTGAGGATTCACAAAATAAATTTAAAAAATCATTGCAGTTACAGAATATACAACACTGTTTATAACAGTACTAAAACCCTCAAAATATATTACATTATTTTTGAATGTACTTTTTCTGAATGTTACCCTAAGCAAAATACCTTAGCCCGCATTTCTTTTATAGCCAAAGGACATTCATGGCTAAAGCTGTACATTCTGTAGTGACAATCTAGGAAACGTCTTGGTAGGGCGACACTGAGGGCTTCCTTACACGACTTAGCTGGATCTTGTCATATACAGTTTGGGGCTGGATGCGTGACAAAAGGAGGAAAGAGAAGGTATCAGTGTGGCAGTCAGATGGAAGAGTCATTTTTATAAGAATTCATTTAGAGAACACTGTGTGCAATATGAGGAAGAAGTCAGAAGCACAATTTCATCATTCAGAATATCTACCACATCTTTAAGTAACCCAACCATCACTCATCATGTACTGTATATTAAAGTGAGACTATATCACTTTTGAAATAAGAATAGTTTATATCACAAAAAACTAAAATCCAATAAAACAGTTCTGCTCAATTTCAGAAATATTGATATTAAATGTGTATGTGTGTCACACATTTTATCCTCAAACAAAAGCAACCATAAAAACAAACTGTCATATAACTGATGTTATATAGGATACATGCTGTACGACCAGTTCAGTTTCACCTGCAATGATGTGAAAAACATTTTTGATAAATATTTTGCTCTTACCCCTGTTGTCACTGGGGTGACTGCGTTATCAATGGTTTCATACACCGAGCACGGCTTCATGGTGCCCTGGGAGGCAGAGGCAAAAAGAAATGGCAGTGTGGATGAAATATACTGACTCACCAACAACAAGCTTCAAATTCCTATTACACCTATAACTAGTGGAAACTATATATGCACTGTAAATATATAAAGGCATACATATAAAAACACAAACTTACATCAACTGCAACATCAGTGATATCAGCGTACACAGTGAGGTCATCTGAGTCACTGCCTGGTGTTGTAAGAAATGAGGCATAAGCAAGACAAAGCATTTGGTGCTGTCAGTCAACAGTAAAAACCAAAAAAGATGACATTATTAATGCTGTGCAGAAAAAAAGGCTGATATGGAAGATTTTCTTACCAGCTTGTCTTTGTTTGCAGTGACAAACAACCACTGCTATAACAATTATGACAATCACTAAACCACCTCCTACTGCTCCAACCAGCATAAAGATAAAGTTCCCTGCAAATGAGGATATTATTGCTATTATTTCAACAATATTATGGAAATAAAAGACATTTTAACTAGTGAAAATGTGTTTGGAGACACCCATTTGGCAGTATATTAGGTACACCTACTGTAGCTAAAACTAATGCAGTCTAAAGTGAAGAGTGAATCCACACATCTAAATCATTAAATTGTCAGCTGCAAGTAGAATAAATTGTCTCACTAGTCAGACTGGAACTGTACTCTTAGGATCACGCTGTAATATGACTGGTCTAGATTGTTGTGAAGTCTTAAAAATAATTACAGATAGTTAAGTGAAACCATTTATATACCAAATGACCTTGCCATACCTCCTGTACCTCTGTTTCTACTGCATCACCACCAGTTGTGATTCATGTACTGTTTAAAAAAATCATTAAAACCCTTCCTATAATTCATTACTACTCACATCTTTGCACATACATTGTTGAGAGGTACTGTTGTGAGCTAACTCACAGCTGGCACCCCATCAACACACGAGATATTCAACTATTAAATTTCATATTTTCATTTTATTCTTATACATTCAGTATGAAATGCCTTAATTAGAAGTTGAGGTGTTATAACTAATCTATTCAAATGGATTATACTGTCCTCTAGTCATAGTAATGTTTCACTTGCGGAATACAGATGAGACCTGAGATTATTAGATGCATTCAGCATGCAGTTGATGAGTTTCAACAGTTTGTTTCACTATAAGAGCCCTTAAAAAGTCCAACAATACTCAATATTTAGGTCATTTTATGATAGTTGATCTACAGTAAAAGATTAATTATTTTGCATGCCCTATTTTATTGGTCTAAGGACCCACATGGGCTGTGTCCTAAATAAAATTTGAACTGAAATACTGAATCAAATAATTACAAAAATACACAAAATAATGCCAATGTAATATTGCTACTGTACTTACAAACAGCACTGAGGATTCACAAAATAAATTTAAAAAATCATTGCAGTTACAGAATATACAACACTGTTTATAACAGTACTAAAACCCTCAAAATATATTACATTATTTTTGAATGTACTTTTTCTGAATGTTACCCTAAGCAAAATACCTTAGCCCGCATTTCTTTTATAGCCAAAGGACATTCATGGCTAAAGCTGTACATTCTGTAGTGACAATCTAGGAAACGTCTTGGTAGGGCGACACTGAGGGCTTCCTTACACGACTTAGCTGGATCTTGTCATATACAGTTTGGGGCTGGATGCGTGACAAAAGGAGGAAAGAGAAGGTATCAGTGTGGCAGTCAGATGGAAGAGTCATTTTTATAAGAATTCATTTAGAGAACACTGTGTGCAATATGAGGAAGAAGTCAGAAGCACAATTTCATCATTCAGAATATCTACCACATCTTTAAGTAACCCAACCATCACTCATCATGTACTGTATATTAAAGTGAGACTATATCACTTTTGAAATAAGAATAGTTTATATCACAAAAAACTAAAATCCAATAAAACAGTTCTGCTCAATTTCAGAAATATTGATATTAAATGTGTATGTGTGTCACACATTTTATCCTCAAACAAAAGCAACCATAAAAACAAACTGTCATATAACTGATGTTATATAGGATACATGCTGTACGACCAGTTCAGTTTCACCTGCAATGATGTGAAAAACATTTTTGATAAATATTTTGCTCTTACCCCTGTTGTCACTGGGGTGACTGCGTTATCAATGGTTTCATACACCGAGCACGGCTTCATGGTGCCCTGGGAGGCAGAGGCAAAAAGAAATGGCAGTGTGGATGAAATATACTGACTCACCAACAACAAGCTTCAAATTCCTATTACACCTATAACTAGTGGAAACTATATATGCACTGTAAATATATAAAGGCATACATATAAAAACACAAACTTACATCAACTGCAACATCAGTGATATCAGCGTACACAGTGAGGTCATCTGAGTCACTGCCTGGTGTTGTAAGAAATGAGGCATAAGCAAGACAAAGCATTTGGTGCTGTCAGTCAACAGTAAAAACCAAAAAAGATGACATTATTAATGCTGTGCAGAAAAAAAGGCTGATATGGAAGATTTTCTTACCAGCTTGTCTTTGTTTGCAGTGACAAACAACCACTGCTATAACAATTATGACAATCACTAAACCACCTCCTACTGCTCCAACCAGCATAAAGATAAAGTTCCCTGCAAATGAGGATATTATTGCTATTATTTCAACAATATTATGGAAATAAAAGACATTTTAACTAGTGAAAATGTGTTTGGAGACACCCATTTGGCAGTATATTAGGTACACCTACTGTAGCTAAAACTAATGCAGTCTAAAGTGAAGAGTGAATCCACACATCTAAATCATTAAATTGTCAGCTGCAAGTAGAATAAATTGTCTCACTAGTCAGACTGGAACTGTACTCTTAGGATCACGCTGTAATATGACTGGTCTAGATTGTTGTGAAGTCTTAAAAATAATTACAGATAGTTAAGTGAAACCATTTATATACCAAATGACCTTGCCATACCTCCTGTACCTCTGTTTCTACTGCATCACCACCAGTTGTGATTCATGTACTGTTTAAAAAAATCATTAAAACCCTTCCTATAATTCATTACTACTCACATCTTTGCACATACATTGTTGAGAGGTACTGTTGTGAGCTAACTCACAGCTGGCACCCCATCAACACACGAGATATTCAACTATTAAATTTCATATTTTCATTTTATTCTTATACATTCAGTATGAAATGCCTTAATTATATGTCAAATTTAAAGTAGAAAAAAAATCACTTTCGGGTCCCGTCTTTTAGGGGTCGCCACAGCGAATCGTCACAATGACGACTCGCATGTTGACATTAGGCATGTGTTTTACGCCGGATGCCCTTTCTGATGCAACCTGGATTCGAACC